CAGCCACCTTTCAGGTGCGTATTAATGAGGTTCTTCGACCTTATTTAGATATCTTCTGTACTGCACATATCGATGATATTTTGATATACTCCGATGATCTACCTACACATCGGACTCATGTTAATACTGTTCTCCACGCTCTGGGGAAAGCCGGGCTGCATTGCAATATAAAGAAGTGCGAATTCGAAGTCACCAAAGTACATATCTTGGCTTGATTATATCTACCACAGGGATTAGTATGGATCCACAAAAGATTCAATGCATTGTAGACTGGAAGCCCCCATCTTGTCTCAAAGACGTCCAGGGATTTTTGGGATTCGCCAACTTCTACCGCCGATTCATCAAGAACTTCTCAAAAATTGTGTGGCATCTCGTTTCTCTTACCAAAAAAGATGTCAAGTTCACATGGTCGGATGCGTGTCAACAAGCTTTCCAGTCACTCCAGAAATCTTTTACATCAGCACCTATATCACGGCACTTCGACGCCTCAAAAGAGGTATTTGTTGAAGCAGATTCTTCTGACTTCGTCTCTGCCGGGATTTTATCTCAGATGGACAACAATGGAGAGCTTCACCCTGTAGCTTTCATGTCCAAAAAATTAGAGAATGCGGAGTTTAATTACGAAATCTACGACAAAGAGCTTCTGGCTATTGTCCAATACTTCGAAGGGTGGAGAGCCGAACTTCAAGGTTCTCATACTCCAATCACGGTCTTCACAGACCACCGAAACTTGGAGTATTTTATGACCACAAAGGAACTTTCTTGTTGCCAGGTCCGTTGGAGCAAGTTCCTATCCCAATTTGACTTAGTTATTAAGTCTCGGTCCGGAAGGGATAACGTGAAAGCCGACTCTCTCACACGACGCTCTCAAGACCTCCCAAAAAACAAATCCGACCCTCGAGTACAATACCAAAGGCAGACCCTCCTTCCACCCGACAAGCTCGACCCTTCCGTCATAAAAAACTTCAAAACTAATGATACTTCTTTAAACTCCAATCATGATACACACTCCTATCTCTACCCAGCTATATTATCTGAATGTGAAGAGCCCCTAGATCAAAAGATAACTCGACTCCTCAACGTAGGCTATGAAGATAACAACGATAAATGGCTAACCAGAATAGTAGCAGAAATGAAAGAACCTGAAGGTATTCCACACTCAAAAAAAGTTGAACTCTCTGAATGTGAACTTTGTGATGGTCGCCTTTACTTTCGTGATAGGCTCTAAGTTCCTGATAATGAACTAAGGCTCTTACTCATACAGACGGCTCATGATAGTTGCGAAAAGAGGCACCCCGGAAAAAATGCAATATACTAAACCTTATCTGACTATTACTAGTGGCCCCAGTTATCTCAGCAGACCGACCGATTTGTTAAAAACTGTCATAACTGCATACAAAATAAGGTCTCTCGACTCAGATATCAAGCAACCCTCAAGCCTCTTCCGCTTCCTGCCCAACTTTGACGCGACATCTCCATAGACTTTGTTGGACCGTTGACAGAATTGAATAACTTTAATTGCATCATGGTCGTCATAGACCATCTCACTAAAGAACAACACTACTCTCCTTGTCACACGACAATGAAAGCAAAAGATTTGGCCAAGATATTTGTTCGTGACATCTGGCAACTCCATGGCCTATGCGACTCTATCGTGTCAGATAGAGGACCATTGTTCGTGTCAGACTTTTGGAAAGAAGTCTGCCACTGTCTACAGATAAATGTAATGCTCTCTACGGCATACTACCCTGAGACAGACGGCCAGACAGAAAATGCAAATGCATTTATGTGTCACAGTTTGAATATAGAAAGCGAATGGGCATTTGTATTATTGAAAGGTAAAGCTATAATTCATCTATGTAGAAGCAAACTACCTGCAAGTCTACTCTACTACTTATACACATCCAGAGGTATCTAAATCTAGCCTACACTTACAGTGGCAACGAAACTGACTTAAGGTTTATTCTGCCACACGGGTAACGCTTCCGATACTCTTGGCACTATCCTTTACGTAGCCTCAGTGGCGATCTCGTATCAGTTTTCGTCTGCTGATAATCCTCGGAGTGATAGAGAATATAGGTTGCCTTCGATAGCCATCGAAGGCTACAGGACTTATCGGCTCACAAGCCGTCACATTATGGAACAATACCTCTGACAATAAATCGACTACTCACAGAAGGATGTTTACAAGTGGCTACCTATGGCTGAATTTGCGGCCAACAACGTAGTCAACAATTCCACTAAAGTTACACCCTTTTTCGCATATAAAGGGTTTCACCCACAAATGAGCTTCGGGTCTCCATGGTCAGCCTTAAGAATAACCCCAAAGCATCTGCAGGGGCAAACTACGGCTGGTAATGACTTCGCCTCAAACATAGCTGAAGTCCTTGACGTATTACGCACAAATCTCACGAGAGCTTGACAAGACCAGGAGATCGCGTCATCAAAAAATCGGTCACCAGCACCAGCCTATTGAGTTGGCGACGAAGTTTTCCTTGACGCCCGCAATATCAATACGACACGGCCTATTAAAAAACTTGATTGCAAGTTCATCGGACCATTTCGGGTCACTAAACTTATAAATTCCCACGCCTACCAACTTCAGTTACCTTTTGAATATGAAAAATTACACAACGTTTTTCATACAAGCTTACTTAGGCCATCACCAACAGATCCTTTGCCAGGTCAACAAAACCCACCACCACTACCAGTCGCACTAGACGAATCCGGCGAGAAACTATATGCTATAGAGGCTATACTTGATTCCAAAAGAAGCAATAATAAAAGAAATTTCCAGTATTTAGTGCTTTAGAGGGGCTGCAACGCTGATGATCAGACATGGGAGCCCTCGAAGAACGTCGTGAATGCTAGAGCTCCTATTCAGGAGTTCGAACTACGTTTCCCCAAGAAGTTGAGGCCCACAAGACGTGAGATCGACAATGCAAGATGACAGGCGTTTAGGTGTACAGAACTTGGAGCGTATCCGGGTGCCCCAACTAAGTCTTGAATCCGGGTAGAGGAGGACCTTATGTGATGGGAAACGCAATTAATATTGCGGTCACGTGGAAGAGTTTACGCGCGTACGCGATTGTATATAATATCCCCTGTCCTTTCCTAGATCCCTTTCTTCTGTGTAGACAATCTGATTCACCAGATTAGACCTCGTCAATTTTCCTCTTGACCATCCCTTGACACGAGCGTCGGGAGTTAGTACCAATGCAGAAACCTAAACTCCCCATAGGACACCTGTGTTACGGTTTGACCGTTGTTTGAGCTTAGGTGAATACCCAAGCCTGATACTGAGAATTCTTACGATGAGGCTGCATTGGGGGAGGGAATAAAGCTGAACGAAACGGCACTGCTAGTCAGGAGGCTGAAGCGTTATTACAACTTAGTGACACCTGGAAATACGTGGCTGGGTAAGAAGTATTGTGCCTAAGGACAAGTCACTAGTCTGTATATTCACGAGGAGGATTAACTCTTATAAATACCTGTTAGTTGTAGCTACAATTAGCTTTTCTCCTCATATAGTTTATTAAATCGATTTATTCATCACCAACTCGGTTTCCGTCAAAACCTGTCCGCTCATAGGAATAGATGCAGGCCACGTATCGGAGGAGAGCGCGGGTATAAATAAGCCCTTCTTGAACATACATATTCTCTCCTTAGAAGAATCTTAAACTATTGATCGTGCATCTCAAGCCAACTTGAGAACCTACCCGACTGTCACACTAGGCCACACCTTGTATATTTCTCCTTGCCTCTCATATTTCTTGAAAAGATCATTGATATATTGCCCTTCATGAATAGCCATTCAGCTCAGTGTTTACCCGTGGAATTCAGCCACCTTTTCCATGGAACCTTCTTCCCAAAAAAATTGTCAAAAAATTGGTAGCAATAGAAACTGCGTGCGCGGGAGAAAGTCACAGAAACCTGCAGCCCCAGACAGGCGAGGCCTAGACACTGGGGCCACATGAGATGCGCATATTCATCTATATCTCCCTTCTTTGTGACATTCGAGGCCGACTTGATCCAATCAACCATCTCCGTATCGGGTGCTGGATACGCTCCGGAAACTCATCAAATGGCTTTTCCTCCATGATCAAGGGCGGGTGATGAGTAGGGCTCCGACCCTACCATCTGATCTGATCGTGGTTAGCTTCATGATGATGGTGATAGGGGCATGTGTTAAGGGATGAAGACAATACAGACGATATAATCGGCGAAAGCGATTGAGAATCCTTATCGAAGTGAGGACTTTGTTACTCAATCTCGGCTCCGCATACTCTACAGTGAGAGCTGGAGGCTCGTAGGGGACAAAGTTGACAAGTGTTAAAAAAATCACCCTCTGTCCCTCTATTATACATTAGGCAAGAAGGAAGATCACTTGCATCTCTCAGGATATCAATAACGGCCATTAATAATAACTCTACAACTGTCATAGCTTTAAAGCTGAATACAAAATGATTTAAAAAAAAATATCTACTCTACAGGACCGAATCACTCTTGCACTTTCAATGATATGAGACAGAAATAGAGTACTGTAGTTTTATTGCGTCTTTGTTAAAACATCAATTGTTGTTTTTTTCCAACAAAAACATCATAAAATTGCTTTCTATTAGAATATGATTCCTATAGACGGGTAATACAGTAGTACTGCAAGTAGAATTGATAAAGTCTAGGGTTAACAGAACGTGTATATTATTCTGCTAGCTCAGCATTCTAGGAAAAATGCTGCGACTATGCCCCTACTAATATGAGGCTACCAGCCTCGCCTACACGCTAATATGAAACTACTAATACAGAGTATATAAGATTTCCAAACGCCTTACCCAGTTTACTCTTCGGCAAACACTAATCACAACCATAACTCCATTATGTTAAGGCATAGGGAGGATTATGTTTGACCAACAATCTTATAGTTTAACACTTTCAATGTTATCAAACGCCGAATGAAGCACAAGGTTCGAAATGCATTTCGACCGGATCGACTCAGCTGTCTATCTCTTCGACGGTTTAAATCTATCAGGCTTTAGGGTTATTTCCAGCTTGAAATGCGGCACAACAAGTGTCTGCCGGTCAGAAACTTACATATCAGTCCAGCTACTCGGCCAAACAACATATTTGCAGATTTCATATTTTTCATGCTTTTCATGCTTTTTTTTATGACTTTTGTGCACAACCTTAACAAATTTGCAGTCTGCAGGCGTGAAAATCACATAATTGTAGCTAACAACATCTATTTATAACATTAGTTGCTCATACGTTAGAGTAATGAAAGAAATGAATCTATTTTTTGCTTTTTCAGGTTCATCTACTTCAACCTGTATGGAAACAGAAGTAATTGGCGTTCACTTGTTTTTCGGAAGATCAGTGATGAAAACTTACTCAGGCCTGTCGGTGGAAGTGGCCACATCTGCGCTTTGCTCGGAATCTTCAAGCTCTTTGCTTCTGGAAATAGCCGAGGATACGAATCATCTCTAAAAATGCTCCAAAATGTCTTTGGCTTTCTCTGATAGGAGTACGCTCGACAGGCATTCTTTACGGCGACATCAATGTCAAACATTATGTACTTCTTCGTGCCGCACTGATAGCCTTTGTGATCCGGTCCAAAATTTCTCTCTACAACCTTTGACTCGTGCGCTGGTAGAGCTAGACCCAGCGTCCAAAAGAGGTAGATTGATATGATGATAAAGTTGAGGAATTGCATGGTTAGGTCGGAGATAGAAAATAAGCGTATAAATAGAGGATGAGAATAGTACGATTGTTTTCCGGTTGATACTTCAGAAATTTCAATTCAGAAGATGTCGCCTCTTATAGAGTTTTAAGAATGGAAAGATTGTGTCTGCGGAAAATAGGTCTGCTTGCAGTCATCACATGCCCGCAGATGAGAGAATTTTTGATTATCGATAAAAGAGCCAATAAATCCAAAAAAGGCATACGTGATGGCAAGATCAGATAGAGAATCATCCAATACTGTTCGGTACTTTGCCATGCGAAGTGGGCTCGAGACATTCCCTATCGACCCGATAAATTCTATGCGAAGCTGATAAAAGAGGAAGGTGTCGCCTTGATGCTTCCCTCGTTTCGACGGCTAATTTCTAAGCAAAATTTTTCCAGTTGCCACCAAACATTTCAGCCAAGCCCAAAACTAATGCACAACTTGAATATTGATGTTGCTAAAAGTGGATGGCTACTTCCTCTTCAAGACCTCATTTTGCACGCGACACCATTTCCCAAATCAGTAGTGACATCAGTCTTTTACTGAATTTCCTTGCACAGACATCGTTTACCTGGCTTATATTAGCTTCAAGTCTGGGGAATAGCACGTTTATTCAATGCTAATCATTTACGGCAAATTTTATCCATTGGGCTTAGCCCTAGTCGATTAGCAATAGTTCCTGAGTAGTAAGTTGAAAGTTAATCTTTTATGCAGATTTTTTTAAATCTTAGTAATATTATGATTGGTATATGATTTAGGAATGTATATTTGTGCTGGAATAGCTAAGAAAGATTGTGGAGAGATATCTTCATTAATGAGCAGAAGTAAATTTGTAAAATTCGGATGATTTCTATTTTGTCCTATATGAGCAGGTCTATATATGCATAACATCTAGACCTAATTTCTATCATTTCCTTCCAAATAACTGTGCGCATTCCCAAACTAGAATTGTTGACATTCGTGTAACCTCCACCTAGCGCATACCACTCCCGAATTAAAAGTTGGTAATTCCAACTTCACTGTTACACATTAAACCTAGAGAAACGTCAAAAATAATTCTTATTACATCATGTAATAAGTCAACAGATATTAGGATATTACAATAGAAGTTTCTTTGGTAATTATCGTGTTACAGATTGAATGAATGTCGTCCCTTATCCCCTAGCTTGTTCGCCTATAGACCGATCATGTAATGTTATATTAACTAGTCTATATAGGAGCAGGATGATGGATACTCTTGGGGAAGCTATGCTCACAGTAGGTCTCTCTAATTGCTATCGTGTGAGTAGTCGTGATATGTAAGACTTGTATTTATATTTTTATATAGAGGAAACTTGGTTTCGAGAATGAACTGAGGTTGAGATTTCCTTATATGCTGCTCCAGACTTACTGTGTTGTTCACAGCCTAGTGTTAGAACATTCCCTTGTGATATCATGTGTGTCCTGCGAGAAATGAGTTTGTCATTCTCCATCAGTCCATCAGTCTCTGTCTGATATCATTATCTCTATTCAACCAAGTTCTAATTGGATCCATGATACCCATATATGTATTGCACACTCAACACCCCATGGTTTAGTTCCATAGTTGCGTGTATCTACTATGACGTGAGCTAAATCATCTACTCTGCTAAGTTACGTGGATAACACACCACGTAACTAGTATGCACCGCACCAAAGTGTGCTCCCAACTGAGCAACTGTACCATTTGTCCTATATCAACAACCGACCTCTCAGACTGCACACAATTAAAAAAATTCTAAAATTCCCCTTTTCCCATCCCTCTCAATCTCGTCGCATCTATCTCTGAATTTTAGTCCAGCCTAGACATTTTCACCATGCCTCCTGTTTGAAAAAAGCGTCCCAATGTCACGTTGGACAACACGAAAGTCCGCCGAGGGCTCTCGAAAAATTACTTGGCCTTGCCCAGTCTTCGAAATGCGCGGAGATGGGTCAGGCCGTCTTGAAAAAGAAGGAAAGAGCCCATTCCACCGTCAACGAGCCCGATACTGACATGATCGGGTCAGTTGAAATTGTTGAGGAAATCCCTCAACCATCCTCCGTCCCCCATGGGATTGGAGAATCGTCAAAATCTCCTCCGACCGCGTCAAAACCGTCGGAAAACGCTGCACCTATATCAGCGCCAACATCAACGTCGCAGCCAAAAGCTGCCACGAAAGCAGAGTGTCCCCTCGAGCTCCGACCAATAGTCGAAGCTGAACAACGACGCGCCGCCGAAATAGCGGCAAATCTGGCCCTCTGCTCCGCCGCCATTGCGCAATACATGGCCACGGGCTCGTTCACTACGCTTCTCGTCCTCCCTCCTCGCTGGGCGAATCCCCCCTAAGGGCTCCTGACGCCAGGAGCACACCAACACCCGCCGTATTTGTGCTGCCTACCAAAAACACCTGGGCCACGGTGGCAAAAAACGGACTGCGATAAGCAGCATTCCCTACATTTAAGGCTGTGCCGCGACCCGCGGCCAAAGCCTAACATAAAGGAAACCCCAAGGCGAAAGTCGACAAGCGACTGTTCCTTCGCCTTGAAAAGGACCACCCGTGGCGAAAACTGTCCACAAATATCGCGAGAAGTAATGTGAAGAGTAAATTTCACTACTCTCACGATAAAATAACCTCGCTCCATCAAGTGAAGACCGGCTTTGATATGCTAGCAAAGAACAAAAACATACGACAAGAGATGTTAGATGCCTCTTCGGAGCTGGAGAGTGTTAACGCTAAGCTCGAAGCATCTTCGGATCTTGTCGTCTTACAGATACCGAAAGTACCTGTAAGTATAGTCATAGAGCGCGGCCCTAGAGCGGCCGATGCTGAGTGGGTCTCCGCCTCGTCGCCAAACTGAACAGTGTAAACGCTGTTTGGGCTTCCACGCTATCAGTGGCTGCTCCCGCGCTCCAGCCTGCTGGAACTACAGATCTAAAGTGCACTCGGAAGCCGAGTGCAAGGCCCTTACAAAGTGCTGCAACTGTGGGGGACCTGTGACAAAAGAGCAGCTCGCGTGGATCCGCCAGATCGAGCAAGGGAAGTTCGCGAAGGTGGCACGAGCTAGGGCTGCAGCCAAAAAGGCCGAAGAGGCGATCATCGCCGCGGCAAAAGATGTCTCGATGGCCGAGGCAACAGGTTTCGCAACGCTGGAATCTGAAGAGGAAGTCTGAGGATTCAGCAACCTCGACGATGTCCCTTTTGGGGCATGTACTAGCCCATAGCAGAATACGGGCTGGATCAAAGGTGTCTGTTAACCCATCTCTTGACCTCAGCGGAGATGGTGTAAATTTGTCATTTGAAAGGTGTATCGGGCGAGGGAATGTGTGAGGAGCGCATTGCTTGGGTTCAACATGGAGGAATCTTCTGTCTTTTGGAGTTGTTTTTGTTGAGACCTAATAAATACAATATTATTACGGGTAAATAACGTATGGGTCACATATTTACCTGACTGTTAGTGGTCATTAGTTGGGCAGGAAGTCTGCATGACATGTTGTGTTGAGGAAGATCAGGTCACGTGATATTGGCCCTGGAAGATTTTTTGCATCAGATTTTAATTGCGTATGCAGCTATCTGGCTATGACACAATATCAAAGAAAAGTACAGAAAAGATGAGTCAACGTGAGGGAAGAGCACTCATGCCTCAGATTTCATTTGCAAGTACCACTGCGAAGTTATGGTGGCTTTTTCTTCACCCAACGTCAACCCTCATCCGTGAATACCCACCCAGGGGAACATCTCAAAAACCCTGGGTTATCCAGACATGCCTCCGTTATTCATCAACTCTTCTCCGCGTGAAATGTAATCTGAGATGTCTCCTTCCCAAGTGGAGTAGGTGCCCAGGCTACTCAAATTATACCAGAGAACACCACCAGGAGGCGGATCACAACGCTTTCCATCGTTTGCTTGTGTTTATAGTGTTAGCTGCACTCTCGCAAGCGAAGTCTTGGCGCGCACAAAGCCCAATTCGTAAAACTCCTTGCCAAAATTGAAAATGACATGCCCTTCGAGGTTATATCCTTCCTTTGCATCATCTTGTCAACTTGTCCTGATCCCTCTCACGTCAATCCCAAAGAACTGTCGCCTGGATTTGTGCACCACGATTTGCTTCCTCCATCGGGTATAAATATCGGCGTGGGCGTGTATTTGGTGATCAACTGAGGCCAGAGAAAGTCAACGAGAGGTATGGTCATTGGGATGAGGATGAGGATGTACTAGGTCGAACCTGTAGACTTGATGAAGCTTAGTTGAGAATCGGGCTCTTTGGGAGTGAAAGATTGACATGGTGGAGTAGTTTGAATCATTGCCTCGTGGGCCAACTTCTTTGATATTGCGAAATTTGACTGAACTTGGCTCTGGGAGAATATTTTACTCCCAGGTTAGTAGAGGATACCGCGTACAGGTGTTCAGTCTTGCCCTTCCCTTGGGATATTAAACAAGAGGCGGGAAGACAGATCACTTGCTCCGTTTGGGACACGAGTAGAAGACATTAGTGTTGGCTCTACATAGCTGGATCACTCGTGGACTATAAATGGTGTATATATGACTGGAAATATGTATTGTAATTTCATCAAGTCTTTATTAGTATAACAATTGTTATTTCATTACAACAGTTTTGATTTTCGGAGTTTTTCCTTTTTCGTTTCTGTCTAATCAGTTGCACTTTTGGCAGCGATTCACGAAGTTGGAACGGGTTTAGGCTGTAGGGAAAGTTACAGGGAACCTTGCCGGCTCCACCGGACCTTCACCAATAGTGGATAAAGAACTTTAGCTTAGGGCTTATCGTAATAATAATAAAGACTGCAAAGAGTACAACTTGTTATGCCGTTACGTAGAGATAGAATCTCCTTCATGCGCCATACTACCATAATAACTATCTATGTACCAGCTACCAGATCTTCTATACCACATAGATGAACATAACAGATACAGCGCGAACCGATTCCAAAACCCGGGCAAATGTCGGGCTTCTTCCCACCTTTTCTCTCTGTATGTTTTCTCATGGTGGCTCGAACTACCGTCTTGCTGTCCTAAATACTTGTAGATACTTTTATTGTCCTATTAAGTCTATGACTATGTAAGGCCATGTAGGTCCTTTCTGCCTACAAGGCGGAAGTATCTATGCCCCCTTGACGACTTCTTTCAGAGTAATACCCCCACTGGTCTTCATTCGAGTACACACTAAGAGGAGCCTCTATCCCGTCATTATCTCTCATCTCCGGCCAACAAAACTATAGCCATCTGCGGTTGTGTAACTGCAGGGAAAAGTCTCAAAAACCACAGTGCGCAGAGCTCTCTAGTTGCAAAGGGACCGGCCAGCCAGGCACAGCAGACCCGTGTATACCTAAGAGCGCCTCTCAAGCTTCCTAACCTCCTCCTTCCCCTTTCCCCGATTCATGCCGCAGGGAAAAACGAAGTTCGTGAAAGGACGTCTGAAAAGTCTTGATCGAGAGTGGCTATCGTGAAAGAGCCTAGCCCAGCATCCAAAAGTCGTTACTGACGTGGAGTCGTCGGGTAACTCATATATTTCAGACGCTCTCCTGGCTAGTATTTTCGGAAGTTTAGATTAGTAGGGTCGATATTATAGACGAGTCTAAATCTGCTTTTCTTGAGGGCGGAATAGGCTTTTACTTTGCTATCGTGGTCTTTTTGTTCGCCCGCCGGTAGGTAGCACATGTTGTGATATAACGAGGGCTTCTCTGACTACCGTTGTAGCGTTTAGTACCGCATTATCTTTCCTCATTCCCAGCATCATTATCGTCGTCTTGGTCGTCTTACGAGTTATCGGAAGCGTATCTTTGACGGAGGGTGAGATAACGCAGCTCAAAGTTGATAAGGTGTTACTCAATCTCGGCTCTGCAGACTCTACAGTGAGGGCTGAAGGTTCGTAGGGGACACCACTGACAGGTGTTGAGAATAGTCCCCCGAAGCTCAGGAGTAAATTGCGCTTCGGCGTGTTAAAATTGGGTTCTCTGAACGGCTGAACTTCATATGTTCAAGACATGGATAAAGTCTGAGTTTGTCCAGTCATTCAGGTGGTTCGAAGTTTATTGTACTTATATGGTAGTTAACCTAATCCAGCTCGCCCCCACTCGTGCTCAAGATCCTATAGAGTTGCGGAGGGTGCCAATTGTCTTGCACGTTAATAAACCAAACAAACCTATATTGTGTGCCACGGCACCATCCATCATGGTGGTGTTTCCTGTTTGCTTGCAACAAAATCTTGGTGCGCACAGTACTTTTCCACCGATTGCGTTCGGGACGCGTCAATCTCAGAACCAAATATCCATAATTCTCGGTGTCCCACTGACACGGGCCAAGACCACCAAAAGACTAGCACAAATTAGCTCTGAATGTCGTGTCGGGTCAGCCCCATTAAATTACAAGTTTTGTTCGCCAAAGTGAGGCTCATAAATATCACACGAAGTCTGTCGGTCTCGCCTCATTGTTTTTTGGAATAGATTTATTTCTACTGCTTGTCAAAACCATCATTTCTGTAGATGCATGGATCGTCGCAGGATCGTCAAATTCGAGTCATCAAACAGAGCTGTACGTTTACAGCAGGAAAACTTGACAAGTTGGAATCGAACTTATCCACTGATTTACTCATGGAAACCCCGGTTATTTATACCCATTCCAAGTCAATCTGTGATGACCAATTTTTTGATTTAGACACAGAATGAGAGGATTACATCTTATGTCTGTGATACCACAAGTATTTTACTAAGTTTTGACTCTCAAGAACTTTTCTCGAGCCTCTTGTTTCTAATGTGATCATGCGCAAAGGATCTACGTCCAGAGGTTAGGTACAGAGATTGTACACACGAAGATATTTTTCATTTTTACATAGCTACATCTGTAATTTCGGTTTAAAGCTCTAGCTTGACATTTTCTTCACTTTAAATTCTACTCATCTTCATTGATCCGTGCAAGCAACTTTAAAGGGTTTAATAGTGTCCTTCACAAATCCGGATGATTGAATTCCGTGACGTGACTTAGTGTAGCAAAATTTCTCGCGAAATATCTGTCGAAGACTAAGAATAACCACCGAAAAAGTTGGTCAAGGAAGTGTTTCGGGTTAAAAATAGGGACTATCCTTGTATTCTGTATATAAAACTGTAGGCTATGTGTTCCTAGTGCATGTCTTTATTTAGAGATCAAGGGATCAAGTCAATCATGATCAGTGAATATAGTGCTAGGATCCCGGGAGAAATAGGAATTAAATTGTTTTAACTGAGTTATCTTTTACTTTAATTACATACACTTCGCCTGTCACAGGTCAGGCTCTCAGTTACCCGACAATATCTTCCATTAGGGATTATGGCTATGAATAAATCTAGCTCAAATCAAACTTCAAATAGCTCCTTAACTTTGGAGCGTGTCTCATCAGGATTATTTACAGCATGACCTATTGTTCGCGGGTCTTCATATATTTCATAATCATTGCCTCCTTTGAAGGTCTTATCACCAAAAAAATGGATAGTTGTGTAATGAACACCGTTTGGCTTCTTCGAATCTTCCTCGAGATGCTGGAGACAGTAAGTTTTATCCCATCCTTTGGGAAAAATATCGAAAGAAATCTGGCCGCCAATTGAGTAGCTGATAATGTTAGCGCATACTGTATAGTAAGTATACATGATGCTTTGAGGGTCAATAAGAAATTGCATGGACCTACGTCAAGCCAAGGTCTGCAAATTTTGCTTGGAGTGCCTGAACAAATGTCTCGCGTATTTTGTGTTCCAAATCGTATATTTGGTATTCATTCCTCTCCTCCACGCTGGCATTCCTTCCAATTGGCGATACATTAATCATCCCATTTCGAAATTCCACAAATGTACCACGCTTCACAGGTAATTCCAGGTCAGCAATGTAATGGAGAATAAAATTAACCAGCATTTTATAATTTTCTTCACCGATCCACTTGATGAAAGAATTGGATGCCAAGGGTTGTCCTAGTTTGTAAGCAGTCAGGCCATTCTCAGCAAAGCAAAAGTCGAAGAGCGATTTCACTGGGACTCCTGCCGAGCCTAGTTGTTCTTGCTGTTTCAAATAGTCGGAACCACCTACGTAACCGATGGCCACTTTCTGCCTAAGATTGTGTAAAAGTTGCAACATTTCGGGTGCGGCTCTCTGGAACACGAATTAGCTAACATGAGCTATTTGATAGCCGGTGACATTTTTTGTTGAACACCTTCTAACATACAAGACGCGCAGGCGTGAGGGTTCCATCGACATCAAATAACACAATAGTCTTTGCGATGGGGCGCTCGGTAAGTGGCGGGTAGGAGGCTGACATTTTCCTCCTTCAATGCCAACGGTAGTATGGTGAGCTTTGTCTGATGAGCTACTGTTATTCTATTGTTCCAGAATTTAGTCTCTAGGAATAGCTTCTGAGTGCTAGATCGCTTTGACAATGATTAGTATTGGGCTGATATTACTTACCGCTCTGTGTCTTCAAATAATGGTTACTTTTTATACCGACATGCATGATCTCGCTTGTCTGTAAAGGGTTCAAAGTGTTTGGAAGTACGTGAACGTCGATAACTCAATGAGACTGAATAAGTTGTCATTGGAAGCTAGTCTACTGCGTCATCTACTGTCCATTATGTCCTCTGCGTAGATTAGTATCAACTCCCCACCTTGGCCAACTGGGCTGTGAAAACAGGATCTTCTTTGCGCCGCCTCATTACTCCCCTGGCTGCCCAACGGGTCCAGTCGGTGGGCGGACGAAAGCGGAGGCCTTGAACGACTTCAAAAAGTGGTGGGCGGCGCTACCAGCACACGAAGTTACCGTCTTCTCAGATGGTCCTGAATAGATGGAAAATCAGGGCAGACACGTCGGTTACGGCTACGTGATCTATCAAGGACGTCATTAAATCGCCTCATGAAATGGAGCAATTACCACTCTGTAGCACATGTTCGACGCGGAAGTAATAGGATCTTGGCGGGGGCTCAAACACGCCATCAGTTTACCTCCTTCCGTCAGTCAGTACCGCGTAAACATGTACATTGACAAAACGTCAGTCATCTAGGGCATCAAGGGCAGCGCCTCTGGCTCATCTCGACAGGATTTTTTGAGTATTCATGGAGTCCTCGAAGCATTCAATGTACACGTGAGATAGTCTCCTGGTCACACGGGGAACTTCGGCGATGAGGAAGGAGACGGGCTAGCGGGCCAAGGGTGCAGGAGCTGGCTGTATTTGGGTTTTTTCAATTCATAAAGTGTATGCAGTCTAACAAGCTGTGGCACTGATAGAGGGTTTCCAAAAAAAAAAATGATAGAGGGTTTAGCCAGTCACCCCACGCTCAGCGGCATCGGATCCATTGTACGGACTAAGACTAAAGAAGCGCAGGAGTACTTCTGGAGGAAATTCAAGCTATAGCTCTCGAGGCGGCGCCAGTAAGAACGAATTCTTCACCTTCTAGTAGTGCCGGTGTAATCGTTCAGTATGCTCTACATATCTGGGATAGCCAAGAAAAATCGCAACCTAATTGAAGTCGAAAGCAACCTCAAGCACATCTCCATTTGACGACTTCTCTACAATGCCTATCTCATCATTATCATCTGAGTCCTCAACCCATCTCTAACCACGCATCATCTCGCATCAACGACCAATAAAGAAGTTGACCAATTACAAACAGGAGCTTGCCCCATTAGTTTCCAGCCATCTCTCACTACTTATTTACGAGGCTATTTATACTCGCAAGGAGGAGAGAGAGAGGTATGTTTACTGTAATACTTGAGTCTTAGACTATCTAGCACATTGGGTTCCTCTCTGACCCAGGCTACACCTTGTACAGTGCTCCTATCCTCTTTTGTTACTTGAAAGATCATTGATATATTGCCCGTGATGAATAGCCATTCAGCTCAGTGTTTACCCGTGGAATTCAGCCACCTTTTCCATGGAACTTTCTACCCAAAAAATAAAATAAAAATAAAATGGTAGCAATAGAAACTGTATTCGCTGGAAAAAGTCTCGAAAACCTGCAGCCCCAGACAGGCGAGGCCTAGACACTGGGGCCACATGAGATGCGCATATTCATCTATATCTCCCTTCTTTGTGACATTCGAGGCCGACTTGATCCAATCAACCATCTCCGTATCGGGTGCTGGATACGCTCCGGAAACTCATCAAATGGCTTTTCCTCCATGATCAAGGGCGGGTGATGAGTAGGGCTCCGACCCTACCATCTGATCTGATCGTGGTTAGCTTCATGATAATGGTGCTAGGGGAATATGTTGAGAGATGAAGACGAGACAGACCGCGAAAGCGATTGGGAATCCTCGTCGAAGTGAGGACTTTGTTACTCAATCTCGGCTCTGCATACTCTACAGTGAGAGCTGGAGGTTCGTAGGGGACACTATTGACAGCTGTTGAGAATAGTTCCCCAAGTGCATATCAAATAGAACAACTTTCCGACGCTGATACTTTTAACGAATTAATTACCCCGCACAACATACACCTCCAAAATACTATGAGCAATAACTCAATCTGGCGCCGATAGGAAGCCTTCGCACCAATAAGAACTCAACACCCCCTTCGATCCTTCGAAAGGCACATCAAAAGCCTCCACTTATGATAAATTCGACGACAGCCGAGACAGGCTCTACATCTAGCTTCCTAGAGATCGGCCCTCCCGCCCACGGAGGCTCGAAATCAATCGCAGGTGCCCCAGACCACTTCCCGAAACTGCTCACTAGTCACCAATTGGGATGTCCCAGAGGATAGCTTACATTACAACATGGAAATGGACTCACGTGTCGCCGGATCAATTGGTGTTGCTATACATCAGAGTAAGTCCAGAATAAAATCAGTTTATTAACGAAATCTAGAGACGGGTATTGTACATCTTGCTATTTAGATAAGTGACTTTAATTAACGACACCGATCATAACAGTCTCCGTTGCTTAACAATCGTTCCCAATCTATACCCTTGGTAGTCTCTATAGCTGACTAGATCCTAGATTCCATCTCTACCGTACTGGCGCAGACAGTACACACGCAAGGGAGTATTCCCGTAAAGTCATGGACAACAATGACCTCACCGATGATCCTTTCTCCGAACCAACATTCACTGGCCCCTTACAAAAAACATTATCAGAGAGTGGCTTCTGTGACTACCCGTTCTAAGGAAGCAGAGTCTCTGTCTGGGGAAATTTCGGCACTTATTGAAAAGCATAACAGCTAGGCTAACCATGCCTCGTTCTCTGACAAGCGGGCTGAAGGACTCATAAACTTTTGTAACGACCTGATAAAAGCCGCGGCCCATTACTTTGAAGGTTATATTTGTGACAAGCCTGCGACCGCTCCAGACCATTTCCCCCTTTATAATCGGGGTGCCAACGCAAATGCCATTACAAGTTACGCCAACGCTGTTTCGCGGGTCCCGTGTGCTTGAAAAAATGAGAATTTTCTCATTATTCTCACGGTACACGCTACACGCTACAGCTAGATCTCGGCCCAAGCCTTGTCCTACAGACGACCCTCTCTTTATTCGCATCCCGAAAGATAAAAGACCCCAAGAGCATTCTGCGAATGCTGTATAACCCCGTCTAAAAGCTAAGCTGGGTGATGATAGTCTAATACTCACAGGTATACAATTAATTAAGACGTATTTCGCTCTCTATCCTAAAAATGAAAACTCAACAAAGCTTAAAGAGAAAATACAAGCATCTAGCTTCTTCGGTAATGTTCCATTAGAGGTCGCAAATCCGTGGGCCAGATATCGTATCAATCATGTCCCCTGAACTTATAGAGCCACAAATTATGCATATGAAGAATGGAAGTACTGTCTTGAGCTTGTTACTTTAGCAGCATAACAGGATCCTCTAACTGCTGCAGCTAGAGTGGCTCCAGAAGTTATTGTTGCATCACGATAAATGAGGTGAATCTGACTTCCATGTCGTCAACCTGGATCGCGCGCTTCCCGGAAACTCAACAGCGTCTTCCACACACTATATTCCTCTTTTGCTGTCGAACGTAGACAAGAATCCCTCCTGACGTCGTATTGCAGTGCAGTGTAATCGGTGCTGGCTCTAGCACAACTCTCGCACTTGTGCTTCCGATCCTAGATGTCGCCTCTGCGGATCCTCTGGAAATTCTGAAGCCAATCATTGAAATATCTGTGGTGCTTCTGGTGAGCGCAACTGCCTCAACATATGTATTTATTGCCACGGCTCGCATCCGGTATACGATGCAAATTGCGAGCTCAGACCTAAGCCCTCAGGTCCGGCGAAGTCCAAGACCCAGACGAGAGCGATTCGTAAGATCAACGCAGAGGCTGGCTGTGTAAAATAACATGTCCATATTTCCCCAACTGTGTCAGGAACTGCCCAAAATTTATCTGCCACTTCTGTGCACCACAGAGCTACAAGTCTTGCCACAGCCTGCAAAACTTCCCATGCCCCAGTAATTTCAAATAATTCTTACGAATTACTCGTAGCAGAGAATTAGATCAACAAATAAACTGGTATAAATGACAAATGTTGGCACAGGAGCCCTATCGCAAGAAAATGCTCTGAGAAAAGCCCATCTAGTCTCAGCGAAAGTGGTAATTATCAAGATTGACATTCGCAGAGATAGCTTAAGATATATTATAAAGCTCTGAGGAGTAGTACTAACTCGGCTGTCTATTTAGTCCTCTAGTAACTTAAAATTTGTACCGTAACCTGGTTATCATTATTTTAGTTTTTAGGCTCGTAGATGTTAAAAATATGCAGCCTTTTAAAATTATTTCCTCGGGCCCTTCTTCTGTTGTTTGGATATTTTGGTATCTCAGCTACTAGAGTAGTATGCTCTAGCGTCCTTTACCTTTAGATAAAGTTAGTGCGTATGGGCTGCGGCTCGTGCTAAATGGACGTTAAATATTATAAACAGACAAATGATAAACCCTCAGTCGTTAAGGCTGTTGAGCGCATTGAATTAAGTAACTACCGAAGTGAAAGTAAGTAAATAACTTTTAGTCATTTGTGTATCAACGACGTGGCCTACTTGATAGCCCAAATTATCCTTTCTCCTAATAGATACAAATTATTTAAATCATATAGGAAATGAGGGAAAATATACACGTTAAAAATAGAGTCAAATACTGCCGTACCGAAGTGATAACTCCAAATTATAATAGCCTATAACCCTGCTGGAAGCTGTATACGTCGCAGAAAATAATCGGTCAATGTAGCTTATTAAATCATTAAATCTCGCCCAAAAATCGGGTCCCTAGATTATCCCAGTATAGCCAATACTAATTATTATAATTTCCAAGCTGTAGTAATTTTCATCCTTTCTACAAAAGTTCAAGAATTGATGGACTGCACTATCCCACTCAACTTTCTCTGGCGCAGCCAATACTTCTCTGAGGGGATACTCGCGTTTATTTTTTTCATGTCAAATATCTAGTACATTATGGTAATATCTTTCCCTTGTTGTTGTTGCTTAAAACAAGTAACTCAAAATCAATTTCGGCTTGGACATTGACTCGCGCTCGAGTTTGAGCTGTTTTCTCGCTTCTCTTGGATCAATGATATTACGTCGATCGGAGTCCAAATCGATAGCATTGATCCCGACGATTTTTGTCTTTTTCCAAATCTTGAAGGAAATATAAAAGGTCGCTATGATCAGAATGCAGAGGAAGGCTTTGAAGAAAGTTTCGGCTTGTTGTTTTGGATCTCGGTAGCCTACGGGCCAGCCACCAATCCAAAATTGGGCTGCAATGACGAGAAAATTGATAAAAAGCGCTAAACTAGAGCCCCAGATTCCGTAAGGCGATTGATATGGGAGATCCTCGAGGCTATTTCCTTGACTAGTCCATGCCAGACGGAAACGTATATGAGCTAGACAGATAGAGCCCCATGTAAGGACTGAAGAAAGTCCAGACAACGACAACATCCATTCTAATACAGTAGCCTGAGATTTAAGATTCACAATATAACATAAAAGTCCGAATACAGAAGCAACTAACATGCTGAAGATCGGGCGTCCATTTCGGTCAATGTAGCCCAATATCTTGGGTGCCTGTCCATCGTGTGCTAGACCGGATAAGGTTCTCGATGAGCCATATACAGATGAATTTCCGACAGATATTAGTGCAACGAAAATTACCGCGTTCATTATCGATGGAAACACTGAAACACCCGCACGCTCTATTGCGATGACGAAAGGAGATGCCATAGAATCTGCGTTTCCTGATCTCAAAAGGTGGGAGTCGCTGTAAGGAACGAGTAGTCCAATTAAGATTAGTGATGTGATGTAGAAGATTAAGATGCGCCAAAATATCTGCTTAATTGCCTTTGGAAGCTCTTTACTCGGATTTTCGCACTCGGCTGCTGTTAAGCCGACCAGCTCAGTCCCAGCAAATGAAAATGCTGCGCACACGAGAACACTACTGAGGCCTTTGAAGCCGTTGTGAAATGCGCCTGGATCTCGCCAGTAAGTTCCGCCTAAGTATCCATGTCCTGGTACACCCCCACAATCACTAATAATGCCAAAAATTCTTTTTGTGTTAGTCAGGTCTTGTATATAAAAGCCTAGTGTATGTCACTCACATGAAGCCGACCACGGCAGCAACTTTGATGCTTCCAAATATAAATTCAGCTTCGCCAAACCCTGCGGCGCCAAACAAATTAATGGCAATAATTGCCACAAGAAATACTGAAACAAAAATTAGGTGCTTAGTCTTATCACTGTCCCAGAAATTGACCGTAACAGATGCTGCGATTATTTCTAGTGGAAGTACAGTGAGCCACTGTATTGAGTAGTTCTACAATATTATGTACATGGTCAGTAGCTGAATCTATAGATAGAGCAGAGAGATTCGGCGCCATTGAAGAGGAGATATTAGACGTACCCATCCCATAGCAAAGCCCCAAGCTGGATCGATAAAGCGCGTTGAATAGGCTGCAAACGATCCAGCTACTGGATATAGAGCAGTTATCTCTCCCAACGAGTGCATCGTAAGATGGAGCATAAATCCAATCACCATGAACGCTATCAGCAATGACGCAGGACCGCCTGCCTCCAAAGCTTTTCCCGAGGCAACAAACAAACCGGTGCCTAAGTTAGAGGTTAGGATACAAAAGAAAAAGCAGATTAACAGCCATAATATTTGAAGTTTATTTGACAGTAGATAGATAACCTACCAACACACCCACTTATAGCAATCATCTTCAAGTGTCGTGGCTTCAGATTCTTTTGGAGAGCTCCTTCCGTCTTTAATGGCTTCCCATCCAGTGAATAGACGGTGGTTGAGTGATCACAGGTGAAGCCCCAGAGGAATCGTCGCACAATTCCAGTAGGTCGGGTGTTTTTTACGACATGGTCTTCAACTGATGCCCTCGGTACCTTCTCGATCTGAGTGTGCGAGTCATCAGAAGTATTGCGACTCGGAGTTGATTGATCGTGCAGAAACTTATCCGGCTTTTTTTCATCGAGCTCATTTGTTCTGTGCATTCTGACAGTTTGAGGAATTCAAAGTGGTGGCGTGGGATTATAAGACAGCGTCACGACATTTAAAGACTGATAATAACAATGAAGACGTACACATTAGAGGGGATATTGAGCGAGGGTCTAGCTTTCTATAGCTAACTATTATGATAGTACCCACAAGGAATACCTCTTCAGAACAACTTCAGCCTGTCCACCCAACTTATTCTAGCCGTCATTGATCATGTGGAGGGAAAATAAGTTCTGAGCAGTGACGCGTGTTTTTGGTGTATGAGCTAGGTTTATGGTTGGCGGAATCTTCTTCTTTCTTAGATTAAGATGGATATGTAATATCTTCTACAGGATTATTCCAAATCATGTCGGCCCGAGCTCGTCCCACTTTTAGCGGCGTACCACATGAAATTATGTGTCAGAAGTACTATAGTGAACTTCTTACTGAGTGGCGGAAGTGGCCCTGCCACGAGTCTAGGCCCACTCTTACATAGATTTGGCTGCGATGTCGCTTGCTAAGAGCTCTTCTAGTCTTTATCCTAGAAAGCTACAGGAGCTTTCTTTTCGGGAAGGACTAGGGTTGGTAAGATTTGGCTAGTAGAAGACTTTGAGGACAACTTCCAACCTAGTCAAAAGTTGGAATGAGATGAGTCTAGAAAACGTTATGCCTTCTCTATTCCAGATGAGATCTACTGGGCAAGTGCATCCTTCATTCATGTTTCGTAAGATTGCAGTTGTAATATCTTGGCTTCACTGTGGCCTTTTGAGCCTAGGGTTACTGTGGTTTTGAACCTTGCGCGATTCAGGACTATCATCTCTTATACAACTTCCTTCATTGGTCCAAGGAATAGTCTAACGACACTCTTATCACTGGTTATCTTCTGATCCGATGACCCCCGCATCATTCGGCAGCCGGAATAAATGCTTGGTTGATTATCCCCACTCGCCATCACCAAGTTATCACTAGCAGTGAGCTTGATATGATTTTCATAGTATTGTCGCATCGACACAACAAAATTTCCCCACCCACCCTCGCTTATAGTTGGAGTGGAAATTTCTGGGGGTCAAGGTCATCAAGATTACGATTCGTAAATTTTTTTATACTGACAAAATCCAGTGGAATGACTCTGCGAACGGCATAGGCCGGCAAACGTTGAGATAGTTGTGTGAGAGATGAGGGCCTATGCTGAATAGATCGCAGGTAGAATGAAAACTCCTGATTCGCCATGATTTCTTCGCTTGCACGGGTTCGTACGTTGGTATTTATTTCTTTGTTTGATAGATGTATATCAAATTGTTTAATGTTTAACAGCACTTGGTTCCCACATCCCTCTAGCCGACGAGATTCATTTACGTTGTTTAGTCTTATTTTATTGGCTTACCAAGGTCTGACAATACCAACTGTTGTTGGTTGCTGCCTAAGGTGGATATGGCTAAGACCAATCGGTACTAGGGCTTGCAAGTGAGCAACCAGCCTTGTAAACCCCGCCCGCCATCACCCCTTTTCTAGAAGTCCTAAATGACCCCAGCCATCGGAAGCGCGTACCTGTAAATGTTTATTATCCTATTTAGTCAATGTAAGGCCATGTAGGTCCTTTCTGCCTACAAGGCGGGAGTATCTATGCCTCCTTGACGACTTCTTTCAGTAGTAATACCCCCACAGGTATTCATTCGAGTATGCACTAAGAGGAGCCTCTATCCCGTCATTATCTCCCCCTTCTAGCCAATAAAACTATAGCCATCTGCGGTTGTGTAACTGCAGGGAAAAGTCTCAAAAACCACTGAGTGCAGAACTCTCCAGTTACAACGGGACCGGCCAGCCAGGCACAGCAGACCTGTGTATAACTAATAGCATCTCTCAACCTTTCTAGCCTCCACCTTACTCTTCCCCTTAATTCATGTCGCGGAACAAACCGGAGGTCATGAAAGGATATTAGGAAGGTCTTGGTCGAGAGTGGCTGTCGAGAAGAAGCCTAGCCTGGCATCTAGAATCGTTAGGGACTTGGGGCTGTGAAGTAATCCATAGATTTCAAATGCCCTCCCGGCAGAAGCGCGTATAGTGCAAAGCATGATGCCCGAGTAAATAGCAGGCCTTATTGGAAACTGTGCAGTGGGCATACATTTGGAAATTAAGACATTGACGTAACATAATATTCCATCAATACAACTATCGCGTATCGTAGTACGTGTTTTACAATCGGCTTTGATTAAGGCGTCAATGGAATTAGAGCAGAGCATCAAACTATAGTATCTGGACGCTCTCCCTATTTTCTCAATTCCATCCTCCCTGAACCCCTAATTACGTTAATGTTTATCATGACGAATTGTTGTCTTATCTGACTCACGATAGACTCCAGATGAGATCCACGCAACGAGCATACTTGTGAAAATAGGCTGGAAATTCCGGAATTCCGCTATTGGTGTAGAAGGCATGGGCAAAAGCCAAGCTACTGCAAATTAACATCGAATGTAGGTAAGTGTCGTTGATGATTTGTAAGAAGTAGCGGAGGATAAATTAGCCTTTAGCATCTAACTTGGGGAATTGGTGGACTCTCTACACACATAGATGGTGCCACTAATACGATGGGCTCAGCAGGAATAGTTCAACAGACTTTTGTAAATTGATTGTTATGACTGGCTATAATTTGTTTGAGCTCTGTTGGTACCTGAATAACCTGTAACAGAATAGGATATGTTGGTAGCACTCGGTGGCTACGGTTTCTAGCATGTGCTTGAATAATGGTATAAATTATTGTCTATTTCTGTCCAACTATCGAAATGATGAGGGATCCATATCAGTATTCACGTTGGTGCCCGTGCGCGCGACACTTAGCCTTACTGCTTAAGGCACCTTAATACTGTAGGCTGCCATAGATCCAGGCAGAACAGAGTACAGGTCCCGATTGAATCTATGGCTTTGACGGACTGCTAGAGCTATCGTGCAAGATTTAAGTTAATATAACTATATATATAATCAATTTAACATGTTCCGATAGACACTAAGAGCCATGCCCTGGCCTCTACCAGAAATAAGCTAGGAATAACCAAAGTTGCAGCTTCACGTATCAATCAAATTAGCCCGATATTTGTTGGAGGTGTACCACCACAGCCTGTGTATAAGACAAATCGCACAAAAACAGACTCGCTGAGTCGAGTATTTGTTAATTAATTACGGCCGGGCTATTTTGTATTCTAGACTTGTGGTACGTAAAAGATTTTGATTATACAATTACATACTAAATTATACACTTTTGACACACAAAAGGTGAAAATTTCAGTTTAAGACATTCATCTCGTCTATCACCCTTTTCAAACAGTCTCAAGGACTAGCTATACATTGAGACTAGGCAACTATTTCAAACTCTCGAAATTTCTCACATTTGTATATCTAACTTTTTAAGGACTTGGATCAAACTAATAACTTATTTAATTTTGCCCATGGCTCTTACTCCACAACTCTCAGTAAGTATGAACTGGGACTCAAAAATGTGTTAGAGATATGCCATCATGTTAATCCAGGTTGTCCAATCCACTTCTTTCTTGTCATCAGCTAGACAATGCATCATGAATCAGTACACAGGGCATGGAAGCTCTTGGTATGTCGGCCGTGGTCGGGTTGGGATCTTTCTTGACGTAAGTACATCTTCTAACCTCTGATGTAAATGGCAATTTATCGATAAAGTTATTCTACATGTATGCAAGGTACCGCTCGTTTATCATAGCTAGAGAGCTGCATACACATTAAATGAATTAAAAATAGCAATTTCATTAGATTACTCCTACCAAAGATTTTGCAGCATACCGAAATTAAGCATCTGGCATGAATAATATCTGTCATTATTTGAAATAGTCACAGGCAGATTCAGCTATGATTTACAGGTACGACCTCATGAACATGTTACAGGACTCCTTAGAGGGTGATGACGCTAATTTCTTGGACTCAATTTTCGAATTTCATCATGAAGTGTGTTAACTCAATACCACAAGATCTCGACCGAAAGTCTTCACCAATAGAAAGTTTCAGAATAGAGAGTGGTTTGTGCAGGTCCTCATTAAATCTCACACTGGCTAAGCTCAAGATGTGATGGCACCTTGCCAGACTTCACCCTTTGACTTCTATTCTCAAGCAGTTTAGGTACTCGAGTAATACTAAATCTATTTGGGAAATCAAACTAGATGATTTATCGCTCTACCATTCGATCACTATCTTTGCTTGAATTTTTGTCGTCACCTGCACTATCAATCGAATTTCTGGTACGCCCATCTATTTTCGATGTAATCGCTTCATTTTGAAATTCTTCACTTTATTCTTTTAAATTCCTTTTCGCAATCGGTATGCTCAAGTGAAGTACTGCAACTTTATCCCTTCTACAGACATTCAAGCTATCCCTAGAGTGTCTGCGGGGGCACGCACAGAACTTTGAGTTTGAATCTGAACAGTATGGTCGTTGAAGGAGGAACGCGCAATCCCTCTTTCGCATAGAAGAAGATGCTTTGATTGAAATTAGGGCGGTGAGTGAGAGGAGGATAAGATTGCTTGAAATTATTTGAATAATTACCTCGCCAACTAACGTGGTGTATTTTATGAAGCTTGACGAACCTTAGCTAAGAGATTAGACCTCTGAGTCCGAAACTTCCGCCAACATGTGATCTAGCTTTATCTTCCAGCGCAAAATTTAGATTGTAACATGGCATTGGTGAGAATAATTACCATAAAACACCCTAACGACGCAGCTTATTCCAGAGTTACAACTTTGTTGAGTGGATGTTACACTATCACCTTGTCCTGTCATTACGCGAGCTGGGTGAGGGATAATGAGTAGTCATCTTTCAGCGGTGTGCTATACAAATCACCAGCTCTCATCGTAGAGTTTGCTGAGCCGAGATTAAGTCCAGCGCTGGCCAGGAAGAATTCTATTTCCAAACATTCTACGTAATTATCCACAGTCCAAGACGGCACAAAGACTTTGGGCTAGTCTACAACCTAGCTTACGCACTGTTAAGACTTTTCTGGC